GTTGTGTTCACTCCCAGGGGAACTACTTCGAGGGTGATGGATGAATTTAATACCTGAGATAAGTGTACGGGTTTTTATACGCGCAGTCTGGAAACCTTCCGATCGCACCTCGTAGGTGGAATTAATCGATATCAATTGCCAACAGTTGGCAGCATTCAGTTCATACAATCGTGTATGGCATTTTTAGCAACCACAACGTTTGTGCAGAATAATATTTTATTTCAAAACGAAACATTCCCACGGAAACCAAAGGATCCACAAGTTACTTAATAACTGAACATTCTAACTGCATTGCATGCTCCATTAAAATGTTAGTTTCCGGTCAGCCGAGCTGAAAATGACAGTCACTCTTTCGAAGGAAAATCTACTTATAAAGATGAAAATGGGAATTAATCGCCGAATAAACGTCATCGTTACCTGATTTGGGGTTTACGTTGCTGGCTTTAACAAACTAATAAAACTGAGACTTCATATACGTGTTAATAATGAAACAATCCTTAAAAAATGCTAACCTTTTGGCAACACAGGGCAATTATGCTAGCAACACATTAAAGCCTGCATTTAAATAAGTAGAGGTCAGTGTTTATATACGATAATTTTATAACCAAACTGTTTCTTGACAAATATTTATACTTCGTACCGTTTAAAAAAATGTGAATTGAATAATAAGTGTTGGAATTACACACTCATTTCTGGTCCTATTTGCACTACCAGCATTGACGTAATATCCGCTATTGGATCCTACCTTCAACCGGTTTCCTCCTAACATCGGTACACAATTTTATCTTCGTATTTAACAGTCTGGCGGGAGTGAGGGTCCTGGCTTCTATTCATGAAGTAACTGTTTTGAATCTCGATCGAATTACCTGTTGTCCTCACTGAGGTTCTTCGTGGTTGTATTCAGTTTCCACAAGCTAATACCGAGATAGTAATTACAAACATATCAAGACGTATCCTTCCAAATCCGTACCTATTCACCATTCATAACCATCTCATTCAACATTAAGCCACATAGCCTCTGAATTTCTGCGTCTCTTAATAACTTGAAATTTAATATACGGTATTTTACGCACCTCATTTGTGATGAATGGTTAAAATACTTTGCTGTAATAAAACAAATGAACCTCAATCTTGCATCTGACGTATGCCAAACGCCTCATCAAATGAACTGACAGTAAACAACTTTGTTCGGTGTGTGTGAAACAGTGACTGGACACAAAACATGGTTAAAATCACGCTGCAGCGCATAATAATAAACAAAGAAATATTTATAACTTCCTTTGGTTGTGTAATGAACTGGACGTCAAAGGACGGGCAGGTCGGTTTCATACAGTAAATTCCGAGGTCCAGCTTTTTGCGTATCGAGGATATATGGAATTATCTGCGGTTAGGTCAGGAATGGTTTGTGTTTATGTAACGCGCTGAAGCATATCGGCAGCCATGTAGCCTACCTTCTGGTATAGGGAAGTGTCTATTTTGGTGTGGTCCAGCTTCGTGTGCATGGAGGATACACGAGGCCGTGTGATACTGGTTGTTGAGAGCACTACATGCTTGTCGCTTCGCACCAGTGGCAGAGCTAGTGGCGCCACTGCGCCGGCGGATCGCGTAGTAATGTTGTTCGTGTCTGCCTGTGACGACTGCTGCTGTGTGGAAGGGGAACTCGCCGAATAACCATGGGGGCTGCTAGGGGTCCCTGGTATTGAGTCGTCTGCAGCAAGAGAAGGAAAAGATGAACCCTTCGAAGCTGGAATCAAAATCGGAATTTTTCGGCACATTTTAATAACAGTCCCCAATATCGAGCTGATTTTGGTCTTGTGGATTGTAACGAGAATTCACACGGCGTTACAATTCAGAATACCATCATCGCGTTTTTGACCGACGTGAAAATCACAAATTTCAGAGACCGAATACAAAATTTTTTACAATGCATTCAACGGTGGTTAATAAAAAAAGAGACGAAAAGAAATCATGCCTCCAATAATTAAATATGATGATTAAGACAAATGTAAATTTGCATACTACTGTTACCAGGAGATGGTAACAGAGGATGAATGTCTTCTGGGTTGTTGCAACGTGTAGTCTGGTAGAAGTTTACCAGAGGTCCTTGCTGCCTTCATCATCAGGGCGATCACTCATCGCCCTGATGATTGATAGCGCGACAATCTAGAAGACAGTCATCTTTGTAATTACAGCCGTCATAAGCTATAATCCTCCTTTCATAAACATCTGTTGTGGGTACCTTACTGGCCATTTCCAGGCTACATTTGTTTCAGGATGACCAAAAAGTCACGCAATACATTCTTAACACGTTCTAATTGTCGAAAAACAAATTACACTGAAATTTGAAAAGAACATTTAAACAAGTATTTGAAATGCCCACCGCGTACAGTGATGCATATTCATTGTCTTCCTCATGTTTGATGCTGCGTCATGGAAACGGTTCACCAGACGAGATACTGTCGGTTTGTTTGCCACGGGAGAATCGGTAAATGCGTCCCTTTACGCAACGTTACAAATTAAATAAGAACGTTATTCCCGGTAGTGTTGACAATGAACACTCATTACACTGATGAAAAAAGACTTCCTTGCATTTCGACCATTTGAAGGCAACTGACGGACTGGCGCTGCTATCCAATGGGAGAATACCACGTGGTTGAGGAAAAGAGGCGGTGGAAATTTTAGGAATACGTAGTGAGGAAATGAGGGAACTGTCGCATACATCTATAGTGTAGAAATGTTCTGAAGATAGATGCAATACGTTCCTCCAAAACGTCGGTAACTACCTACAAGACTACACCTCATTATAAACCGGAAGACGACACTTCAAATTTTCACCGAAAAGGAATATCAAATTCTATAAAGAAAGGGTCGTATTGTGGAAGATTCGTATTCTGTGTGCTTCTGAAGGCGATCATATTAAAGACGTTCATATTAAACCGTGGCAGTGGGAACTTACCTCCTGAAGTATCTGCGTTTTCGCTTTGGCAAACGCTTGCTTGTCGTTTGAGGTTGGGCGGTACCCAGAACTTGTCATCCGCAC